TGGACCCGAGCGGCGGCGGGTGTCTGGACCCGAGCGGCGGCGGATGTCTGGACCCGGGTGTCTGGACCCGGGTGTCTGGACCCACCCGTCTCACTGCAGGTGAATACGAAAAGACGCTGAAAGTTCAGTTTCAGTCTTTCCAAGCAAACATTCATGTTTTTGTTCACTTTTGTGTCTCCAACTAGGCTGAGCTTCGTGAGATACTGGCTTCAGGCCTAATGACTCACCAGAACCAGAACCCTGAAGCTGACTCACCAGAACCAGAACCCTGAAGCTGACTCAGCAGAACCAGAACCCTGGGGCTGAAAACAGAAATAAACATTTACACAGAAAAAACTGAAACCAGTGAAACGTGTTGATTCTGCAGAAACTTTATATCATCAGATTTAAGACAGTGACATCATTTTCCTGCTACATCCTCTTCCTCCTTTCAAAATAAACTGCTCATTTTATTCTGAAAAACCTGAAGACAGGAAGAGGTTTGGTGTTTTAGTGCAATCATTCAAGTAAATAATAAATATTCTGTTCAGATTTACACAAAACTTTAGTGCAAAATATCAGTTTTTACATCAAACGGCAGTAAGAGTCCTTCCTGTGTAACATGAATCAACATGTGGTGCAAGGTGTCAAGGTCAAAGGTCACATGGTCAAAGGTCACATGGTCAAATGTCAGAGGTCAAAGTAAGTCTTAGCTCTCCTGTTTGTTTCATGATTATTGTTTTGTTCTAATTCTGATGAAGACAGGAGCACGAGGAGACAATGAGGTGGTCAGGACTATTTCCTGAAACAACAAAACAAATTTCAAAATGTAGTCCACACCGCCTGAATCAAGACTCCAGTCACTCTGGAATATCTGACGTCAAAACCCAAGACACGAGTTGTTTTTTAAGCTCCATGTCTCTGAATGACCTCTGACCTTCCCAGTCCTGGTCTTCTTGGTCTGGGTGTGTAAAGAACTTTGTGACTGGCTCTCAGTGAAACCTGAAACACAAAATCTAAACGTGATGGAAAGTCCAGGCTTGTGAGAGCAACCACCAGCAGGTGACGCTCAGGGTTTCTGCAGATCAGATGGAGGACCAGCACGTGAAACTGAAGAACCTCAAGACTCAGACCTTCTCCAGGACTGTCTGATGGACAGTCAGAGTCAATCAGAGGCCAACAGTCAATCAGAGGCCAACAGTCAATCAGA